TCGGTTCTGCCTCCCCTCCCAGCCTTGCTCTTGAGACAGCCCACCCGCTCCACAGCCCACCCGCTCACCTGCAGTCCGGGCTGCCGTGCATCTGCTGAGCCAGCATGTGCAGCAGTCAGGCCCTGCCAGCGTGCAGTGAGGACCTGCCGGCGCTGTGGGTGCTCTGACTGTGACCAGCTGGGTGAGCTTGGGCAGCTGACTTGACTTCGCTGTGCCTCGGTTTCCTCCTCCACAAAGCAGGCATTAAGGTGGGGCTCTTGGGAGAAGGACACTGGCCACTGACAGCAGGTGCTCAGCAGACTCCTGGCACAGTGCAAGTGCTCTGGGAATCTCGGCTAGGGCATTACTGGCCCGTCTCCCCCAGACATGAGCTGAAGTCCGAGCAGTCATGACTTGTCTGTTACTCTTAGTTACAGCTGCAGGCAGGCAGCACTCAGGATTCAGGCCCATGTTTGGAGTTATAAAACTCCATGTTTTATTCAAGATTGGCAAGGCTGGCTTCCTGAAGTGTATGTTGAGCCGATTTGGAGGAAAGAGGAGATTCGGGGTGATCACGAAAAATGGGAGTTTCATACCTCAGATCCTACCCCATGACTTCAGGGACTCCAGGACGGCCTCAGGCTCTGTGCCTGCAGCGGGCGAGGGGACCTAGAAGGCAGCCCTGCCACCTGAGGCCTAAAGTGCCCAGAGGCCAGCCGGGGCCCCCCAAGGCCAAGGCTGTGACGCCTTCTCCAGCACACACCCTTCCAGGCTCTGTGGGGTCCCCAGGCCCCAGCACCCCTTTGGCTCTTGTTCCCGATGCTTATGTGGTTAGGTCATGAGATAAGCGACCATTTCTTGAGCACCTACTCTGTGCTTTAGCAGAAAGAACTCATCCCCTGCACCTTGCCTCTGGGAGTCAGACATTCGCTAGGTTGTTAATCCATTCTACAGAAGGGGACACTGAGGCCCAGAGAGGTTAAATCACTTTGCCAAGACCTCCCAGCTGGAAACCCAGCTGGTGGAGAGAACCCAGAACCCAGTGCCTGACCCCATCGCTCTGCAGGAAGCTGGAGAGGTGGAGTCTGGCTGGGTGCCGGTGGGGGGAGAGGGAAGCGGGCCCTGGGAACAGTCAGTTGGCAGGGCTGCTGGAGAGAGAAGTCCTGGCATCTCATCCAGTGGCCTCTGGGCTGCTGTGGGCCCCCAAACTGGACCTGCCTTTGTTTTTGAAAATACATGATTTACAGTCTACCACGTGGGCGAGTCTGAGAAACATTATGCTGAGTGAAAGGGGCCAGACTCAGAGGGCTCCATGTTGGAGGATTCCGTCTACACAGTGTCCAGAGGAGGCGCACCCGTGAAGACGGAGGGGGACGAGAAGATGCCAGGGGCTGGGGGGGAGGGGACAGGGTGATGGGGACGTTCTAGATGGATGCTGCTGGTGGTCACGCAAGTCTGTGATTATCCTCAAAGCCCCCGAACTGTATACTTTCCATGGGTGAATAGTATGGTATATGGATTTTATCTCAGTAAAACAATTCTACAGAACAATAGAGCAGGAGTTCCCAGACTTGGGGAGCCCGAGGACTAATACGATCAATCAGATAACCTCGCTGCTGACAACCCTGCAGCATGGTTTTCCTTTCTGCTGCCATGATGCTGTATCTGCTCTCTGCGCACCCCTCCCCACACCCGCCCCCGGCCACTTTCATCCCTACCTGCGAATTTACCTGCAATTGGCACTCTCCGGAAATCGCTTAGCTCCCCAGAGAAAGTGTAACAAGGCAAGATCTCATTAGGATATTCAGTGGTGGGCTGCAGATCCCTTTTATGGTAAAGAACCCTGGAAATTTCCACCACCCCCCCGCCCTTTTTTTCCTTTCCCTGTTAACTAATGCTTTAAATGTGGTGGCCCCGGTCCAGGGAAATAAAGGGGACAATAAAGTTTATCCTGCTCACTCCACAGGGCCCCATGGACTCTCTGGGATGCTGCCAATTTCCAGGGTCCCCAGGGCAGGGAGCAATGTATGTCCCAGGCCCCCCTCCTAATAGCACATTAAGTCAGGCCGTGAGCTTGGAACTCTTGGCTCTGGTAGTGAGAAGCATAGTGAATGTGTTGGTTCAAGGGTCTGCTTTTTATTAGCCAGGAATTGTTGTAAATTTGGCCTTGAAGGGTGAGGAAAGGCTGCTCTCTGCCTCCCTGCGATGGTCTGGCCAAGAACCTTCGTGAACCTTCACCTCCCCCTTCGATGATGCTAGCGTGAGATAACGCAGACTCCCGCCCACGTGTGTCTGGCAGCCTCACCCAGCAATTAACAGTGACTGAGCCCCCTTGGCGTCCAGGGCAGCTGCTGACAGGCCCCAGAGCAGGGGGTGAAATCCTTGTGGTGGGGACAGCTGGACCCAAGGAGGGAGGGTGTCTGGCACACGATGGTGCCAGGGAGCGTGTGTTTCTGGACCGGGCCCTGTCCTAGAGCTTGCGGGTTGTCTTAGTCATCCAGTGCTGTGTAACAGAGGACTACACGTAAGCAGCCTGCAGCAGCATGCCTCCCCCTGCACACTCAGCGGGGGCCCCCACTGCTAGTCAGGGTGTTGGCCGGACTCGACAGGGGAAGAACCTGCCTCCACGTTCATCGCTGAATTCATCTGTCTGTGATCTGAGGGTTGCTATGAACGTTTAGAGGCAAGCTTTCATGTGGACTCTGCTTTTGTCTCTCCGGGATACCTGCCTAGGAGTGGAGTCGCTGGGTCCTGTGACGACTGTGTGTCTCTGGGTCTTGACGAACTGCCAGGCCGTCTCCAAAGCAGCTGCACGAGTTTGCAGCCCCACCAGCAGTGTGTGAGGGTTTGTGTAGTATTTCAACACTTAATAATCACACGGGTGTCGCTTTTAAAGATGGATTCCTCGCTTCCTCTTGAAAGATCAGGCCTGGAGGGATGGAGCCAGCTTCCCTCCACATGGCGCCGGGTGGACTGGTGCTGTCCGCCTCCCCCGCGCCCCCAGTCTCGCCTACCCAGTACCTCATTAGTGGTTCACCCTCCTGGGGGGCAGAGATGTGTGGTTGAATCTCTTGTCCTTCCTGTCCCCCCTCCCTTTCCAAACCTGGTCCCTTTGAAGGTCTAGTTCAGGACAGTTCCACCTGCTCCAGGAAGCCCGCCTGGATTTTCCCAGCCCTTGGGGAATTCTCCTATTCTCCAGCTCCTGCAGTCTTTGTCACCTGCACCCCCTCCCACCTGGCTATGTCCCTGGTTGTTTTGGAACAGCCAAGTCTTCTCCCAACTGCTAGGGTTCAAATCCAGGCACCTCCAATTACTGCAGGAGCTTGGACAGGCCGCTCGTCCCCTCGAGTCTCCGTGTTTTCTTCCCTGGAGGATTAACTGTAGCACATAGTAGGTGCCCAGGCACGGCATCCTCATGTCCCATCTGGGGAGCCGTGAGGCATCTCCAGCCACCTCCCCACAGCAGGAGCCTGGTCCCCACGCTCCAGGAGGAGGGGCAGGGTGGGGGCGGGCCTTACCCCTTTCTCCTTTCCACCAGCGCACAGCAGGGTCAAGGCCAGGGCACAGTGCCAGCCTGCCCCCAAGGGTATGGAGAACACTGCCCAATTTGACCTGGTGCCACCCCATAGACAGTCCCTGGGGTTGGCTGGACTGTGACAACTGTGACTGTTATCTCCTGTGACTAACGGAGACACAGCAGCCCTGAGTCTGGCAAGAGTTTCCCCAAGTGGTGATGGCAAGGTTTGCCAGAGCAGCGAAAACCCTACGGAGTGGGGTCTACAGGGGCTCCAGGCTCCCCGCCGTGCGGTGGGCCCCCGGCCCTAAGCAGGCCAGGAGTGGATGGAGTGTGCTGGGGCCAGGCGCCACCCACTCCTGGTTCTAGCCTAAGCTGCCAGCACCCCTGTGGGATTTGCGGGGGCCGCGGTCAGGGCAGCATCACCATATGGATCCCATAAATTAAAGCGCTCCCGGAAACAAATGGTAAATGTACCTGTCTCTTGTGTGGGGGGCTGGCGGAGCCTGGATGGAGCGCCATCCATCTCTCTCAGGCACTTTGCTTTTATAGCCCTAATCCTTGGAAAAACGGGATCAACGCGAAGTTGTTCTCTGAGAGCCATGCAGTCCCAGAGCTTGTAATCAGGAAATGGGGGGTCGCCAGGCCCCCGGGACCAGTCCCCAGGGAGCTGCCGGGGTTCCAGGCCTAGGAGCCCAGCATGCGAACCTGTGTCAACCCTGCCTCGGCAGCTCTGTGGCCTTAGGCTCCCACCGCCCCTCTCTGAGCCCCAGTCACCTGCACCCCTGTGGCCCGGGGGCAGAGCGACCGGCCGGGATGGTGGGTGCTGGGGGTGGGGCAGAGGCAGAGGGGTAGTATCTAATGAGTATAGAGTTTCCATTTGGGCTGATGAGAAAGTTCTGGAAATAGATCTGGGGGATGGTTGCACACATGTTTGGACTTCACGCCGCTGAGTTGTATCCTTAAAATTGTCTAGATGGTAAATTTTATGTTATGTAACCCACTCCACTATTCTTGCCTGGGCAATCCCATGGATAGAGGAGCCTGGTGGGCTACAGTCCCTGGCATTGCAGAGAGTCACACCCGACTTAGCGAGTAAACAACATCCAACCAACGACATATTTTACTATACAGTATTTTTTTAAAAACACAGGACAAGGGTGGTGGATAGGATGACCACCCTTCAGGGAGAACTGAAAATTAGCTAGACTGGTCAGTACAAGTGCGACCAGCTTGCTGGTAGTTGTCACAGAGGCCTGTGCAGAGTGGAGGGGCCCAGGTGGCAGTGGTCCTGGGGGTGGACCCCCAGCGCCTGGGGGTCAGCCTGGTGTCCCTGGGCAGCGCTTCCTGGGCGAGGAAGGCACTCACTCTGGCTCCCAGAGCCAGCCACACCAGGTCCCTGATGGCAACACCAGGCCACCGTGGGTGAGGGACGGTACCCAGCACCCTGGGGTACCTCCAAGCAGACGTGCCCAAGACTCACCACGTCCCCCTCCTGTCCTTCCAGGTCACGTCTGCATCTCTTGAGACATCGACAGCCATCCACCCTCCCGCCCAGGAGCCCGAGCCTCGGCCGGGTGCCCCAGCAGAGAGCCTGCCCAGGGGCCCCAGGACCAGCCAGGAGCAGGGGCCAGCCCGGTGTCAGCAGAGCGGCTTGGACGGGGCCGGCCCGGACCTCACGGGCACAGGTAGGTGCCAGCATTTCACCATCTCTGGCTACTGGAGTGAATCGGGTGGCTCCTGGGAACCAGAAGCCTCCCCAGAAGTTGGGGTGCAGACTCCCACCCCAGGGTCACCACATTCTAGTGGGGAGCCAGGAGGCTGGGTCTCTCGACTTGAGTTTGATCGTTTCCCCCTCTCTCATTGTCGATTCACAAACAGCCTTTGTTGCTTTCTTTTTTTTTAAATCTGTATATTCCATTGTGTTCACGCATTCATTTAAAAAATAGCATGGGTCTATCTCCATGAGCCACCAAACCCTGCCCCAGAACTCTCCGTCTCCCTGGATGCCCTGTCGCCCCAGAGTGACCCGCCAGGACCCCATTTGCTTTTCCGCCGCACCTGTGTTTGCCTGGCACCCCGTGGCCTGGTGTCCGGGCTGTGAGCCTTGTCTCCGGGGCCCTGCGCATCCCTGCGAGGCCGCCTGTTGTCGCAGCTGCTGTCGCGCTCCACTTCATGTCGCGTGCCATGTGATGTCCAGCTGCCAGGTGCAGGATGGAAGGGGGCTCGGCCGCCCGCCCGCCGCGGGGGCGCACCGCTCGCGTCCAGGCACGTGGCTGTTGGTGTAGCCCCATTTGGGACACAGGGCACGAGGGGGTCCATCCGCGGGCGGTTCTGCCTGGCGTTTTCTGGCATGGGCGTTCACTCCCACCTCCTCCAGCCACCAAGACCCTGTCCCCCCATCCCTACCCCATTGGACGCATTGCTTTCCCCAGTGATGGAGAGGCTGGCCGCTTGTTGGTTGTTGGGCCTGTGAGTGTGGAGTCCTGAGGCGTTTGTCATGCACGTGGGCCCTGGAATGGGAGCAGTGAGTGGACACCTGCGTTCTTACCTCGGGAGGGCTGTGGAGCAGCCCCTTAGACCCTAAGAGGACCGACACTAAACAGCCCTCAGCCCAGCCTTCCCCGTTGCTGGGCCACTGCAGGGGCAGCTGGTGGAAAACACTGCTTATCAGTGAGCGTGGGAGTCAGCTCGTGGTGGTGGGGTCCTGGGAGTCCCATCTTCAGGACGTCCCCAGGTACCCACCTCTTGCTCTCTGCAGTGTGGACTCAGCAAAGGAAGGGGCTGGCTGACTGTGGCTGATGGGCCACCAGCCCGCCTAGGGGCGTCCAGGCCCTTGGCAGAGGGGGATGGGGTGTCTGGCACAAAGGGGACTGCAAGCAGTGGGCAGGGACGCCTGGGACAAGTGTCTCCTTGTACTGTGCCTCAGTTTCCTCCTCTGAGGAACGGGCGGGAAGGCCAGTGGGAGCGCCTGACTCACCAGCTGGTATGAGAATGGAACTTGGCAGGTCGAGTGCAGTCCTGGTGCCCCTTCCCCCGAGAGGCCGGCGTCCTGGCTGGTGTCAGCGCTGTTGGTTGTAACTCCTACTCACCCCGATGGCGCCTCCTCCAGGCAGCCCATCGCATCCCTGAGGCTGCTGTCCCAGCCTGCCCTCAGCTCTGAGTGATAAGCTGCGCAGCAAGGACCTCCCCGCCCTGCTGGGCACACACGCGGCCCTGCCCCCCTGCCCTGGGGCCCCTGGGGCAGGGCAGGGGCACAAGACCCACGCCGGCCAGCTGCTCCCCTGTCAGGCGGCAGCCCTGCCGGTGGCCGGGGGGAAGGGGGACGCGCAGCTCACAGCTGGAGACCTGCCAGGCAGCGCCAGCCCGCAGGCAGCCCCTCCCGGGGAGGCCGCTGCTGGGAAATGTGACAGTGACTAATGGTTTATTACACACCTGCCACCTCGCATCGGGCGGTGCGCACGGCCCCCCGGGCCCAGCTGTGCGCTGCCGGCTGGGCGGTGGGGTGGGCGCGGGGGGCGTGGCCTACAGACATGTGGACACGCCGCGTGGGGACGTGCGGGGGACACGCACAGACCTGGCAGGCACACAGGCATGAGGGTGTGTGTGCAACACACACAGGCACACGCACGCACGGCCCCGTCGCACCCCCTCCCCGGAGCTCCCCGCCCCTCCCCGTCTCCCCACTGTCTCTCCAGCTCCCTCCGTGGTGGTGGGCTCCAGCCCCCTTCCCCGTGCCGGCTGGGGCAGGGGCCTTTCTCAGAGGGCTGGGTGGTGATGGGCACGTCGGCGGCAGGGGGGTGGCTGCATCCCTTGGCTTGGGGGGGCAACTGTCCACTGTCGGTCTCTGAGCCCCAGTTCCCCGCACGTGCGGGGACAGCGGCCCTCGCTGGGGCGGGAAGCTGTCACACCACTGCTCTGGTGCTGGGCTGAGGGCCTGGAGGCCGCGTGCCCTGGGGACACACATGGCCCAGCCGCCTGCATCCCTTCCAGACTCGGGGGAGCTGCTGATTTTCAGGCACTGCATCTGGAAGGCCCGCCTGGGGGTGTTCGCTGGCTGGCTGCTGGAGAACAGCTCTGGGGCTGCAGGGGCAGCGGGGACCCCGGGGCTGGGCTTCTTCCTGGCAGGCAAGGCACGGATCTTGGGCTGACCAAGCCGGGGGGAGAAGGGCGCTGTCCCAACCTCACGGCAAGGTGGCTGTCCCTGAAGGTGGTGAGCCCTCCAGGCCCAGCTCCTTCCAATATTCTTAAGCCTTTAGTCAAAGGAAAGTCCGTCTCTCACGTGCCACGCGCAGGCGGCGTAAAATCCAGCCGGAGGACACTCGGAATCCATCAGTAGCCGCGGGGACGGCGTTCCCGAGCAGTGTCTCTGTGCAGGCAAGGAGCAGCGCTGTCTGGTGAGTGGCTGGAGTCTAGGCCCAGCGTCCCCCCACAGAGCTTCCGCCAGGCTCAGACTCCAGAGCGGCTGAGCAGGCGTGAGGCTGTGCAGCGAAGCCTCCCTGGCTACTGTGCAAGGTAGACTCGGGCCTGGGAGGAGCCCTCAGGGGCGCCCAGGGCTGCTGGGCCAGGTTCCGCAGGCTGCCCGCCACGCGGCTCCAGGACGGCCCGTCTGGGCGCGGGCTCCCCGCGCGGCCTCGGAGCTGCCTTGCCACCCAGCTGAGCGATGGCCCTGTGTTCTGCCCGTGGTGCCTTGGACGTCCTCTCTGAGCTCTGGAGCGGCATCTAAAGCGGCAGATATCGTCTTCATTAGTAGACGTGGTTGAAGCCGCAGACCCCACTGATGGGTTTGGGGGGGCGGTCACCAAAAGCTGGAGCAAGGTGGACTCCCCCATCATGGCTGTGCTCCTGTCGCCATCAGTCACTCAGCCGTGTCCGACCCTGTGTGACCCCACGGACAGCAGCACACTGGACTTCCCGGCGAACTATCTCCCGGAGTTTGTTCAAACTCCCGTCCATTGAGTCAGTTGATGCCATCCAACCATCTTACCCTCAGCTGCCCCCTTTTCCTCCTGCCCTCAATCTTTCCCAGCATCAGGGTCTTTTCCGGTGAGTCGGCTCTTCGCATAAGGTGGCCACAGTATTGGAGCTTAAACTTCAGCATCAGTCTTTTCAGCGAATATTCAGGGTTGATTTCCCTTAGGATTGACTGGTTTGATCTTCTTGCAGTCCAAGGAACTCTCAAGAGTCTTCTTCAGCTCCAGGGTTCAAAACCCATCAGTTCTTTGGTGCTCAGCCTTCTTTATGGTCCAGCTCTCATATCTGTACATGACTACTGGAAAAACTGTGGTTTTGACTATACGGATCTTTGTTGGCAAAGTGATGTCTCTGCTTTTTAAAATGCTGTCTAGGTTTGTTTCCTGGGCTCCTGCCTTTCCTCCGGTCACATCAGGGTGCTGGGGCCCGCCAGCCCTGAGGGATGGTCTGCAGGCTCCTGTCCTGACAGACCCCTGCCACCCTGCTCCCACCCAGAAAGCCTCCGTCCTCATGTGTGCTTGTCCCTGGCTTTGGGGGACCCCTGGTCTGGTGGAGAGGGGAGGGCAGGAGCAGCTCTGGCCAGAGGAGTAGGAGCATCTGTGGGAGACACAGTGCATCCTCCGTCTCCGACCTGGGCCGGCCCAGCCCAGCCCAGGGCACCTCTGTTCACCTACTCTGGTCCCATAACGGGAGTTTGAGAAGAGTTTGGGGTTAGTGTCTGCTGCTGCTGTAGTGGCTTAAAAAATCCATCTTTGTGCTGTGCTTCAGTTGTATCCAACTCTTTGCGACCCCATGAACTGTAGCCCACCAGGCTCCTCTGTCCCTGGGGATTTTCCAGGCAAGAATACTGGAGTGGATTGCCATGCCCTCCTCCAGGGGAATCTTCCCAATCCAGGGATGGAACCCCATTCTCCCGCATTGCAGGTGGATTCTTTACAATCTGAACCACCAGGGAAGCCCTGGGTTTAAATCCAATCAGTATTTTTTGGGTGTGGGCCTCTCTTAAGTGTTCGGGTCTGGATTGGCACATCCTAGATCCGCATCCTGCCTCTGCCCCTTCCGAGCTCCTGGTTCCAGGCACAACTTCCCCGTGCCCCGGCTCGCCTGCGAGTACCCTGAGACCCCAGGTGACCCACATCCGTCGCTGAGCGCCACGCCTGACGCTCAGGGATGCGGGAGCTGGCCCGGGCCCTGTGGGGAGAGCTGGCCCTGCTGCGGCTCCTGTCGCTCCTTCGTTGGGCGGATGGGCTCCCGGCCAGCGGGGTCAGGCCTCCGTGGCCGGGAAGGCAGGGCCTCTGCTTGGGTACTTGGCTCGGGCCCCAAGATGTCCTTGGCAGGCCTCGCCTGGAGCGGGTGCTGGTGCTGAGTGCTCTGGCGGGCAGCACTGGGTGGATCCTATTCCCTGCGGCCAAGTGGCAGCTGCTTGGAGGGCAGGGGGGCCAGACTTGGCTGCAGCCCCCCAACCCCCGTGCCGGCTCCACGGGGAGACGCTCTGTGCCGTGGAAGTGTGTCCCTGCTCCCGCTGACTGCTCTCTTCCTTTGTTCATCTCCAGCTGAGCTGGGATCCAAAGTCTGTTTTCTCTCCAACCAGAGATTGTTTATCTTCTCAGGAACTTACTGTCCCCTGGGGAGCACGGAGCTTGCAAGTTGAGGCAGGAGGCGGAGAAGCCCAGGCAGCCCTGAAGCTCTGGGCTTTTAGGGAGCCTTTCCCCAG